ATGGCACTCCAGCCTGGGCGAAAGAGCAAGACTCCATCTCAAAAAAAAAAAAAAAGACTTTCCATCCACTGTTGGCAGATACTAATATTTGAAATTATAAAATGTGCCCGCTCAGATACTCCAGATCAGCTGAATTCCTCCTGGCCCCATCTTTTCCCAAGTTCAATTGTAATTGTAAAGCTTTTCGAGATACATTTCCTAAAAATGAGCATATCAACCTTGAAGGTCATTCTGGATTCATTCAGAAATCCAAGGTTCACAGTATCATAATTAAACATGTACATTTTCATTCTTTTTTTTTTTTTGAAATGAAGTCTTGCTCTGTCTTTTAGTGCAGTGGTACAGTGGTGCGATCTCGGCTCACTGCAACCTCTGCCTCCCGGTTCAAGCGATTCTCCTGCCTCAGCCTCCTGAGAAGCTGGAATTACAGGTGCGTGCCACCACGCCCAGCTAATTTTTCTATTTTTAGTAGAGATGGGGTTTCACCATGTTGGTCAGGCTCGGTTCGAACTCCTGACCTTGTGATCCGCCTGACTCAGCCTCCCCCAGTGCTGGGATTACAGATGTGAGCCACTGTATCCAGCCAAACACATATATTTTCCTGTAAAACTCTCAGGGCTTTTACTCTGGCACTTGGCAGACATATCCTTGTAATGTATTATGCTCCATCAGGGCTTTCAAAGAAACTGATTTTGGTCAAATTTCACTTCACCCCATTTGTAAGGGAGTCAGCATTCATTACTCCACCGTAAAATATTTTGCTTGAAGAGCTCCCGCAATAGCTCCTGGTTGGCCCCTAGATTCCCTCTATACTTTTCCCCACATTGCTCTTTGCTCTAGGAGCTGCTCTGTACGGACAGCCTGATGAAGATTCTCTCCTTAAACCAAACTAGTCAGACTCCACTGAGTCCTCTTCTCAATGAAGCCTTGACATTGGACCCTGCCCTTGCTGGGCCTGCACAGCCCAGTTTTAGAAAGAATTTTGCACCAAGTCAGTTTAGAGAGAATCCCTTACCCTTGATATCTGATCACACTAGCCTGCCTTGAGCAAGAATCCCCCATCCTTGACGTCTCCTCTTAGTAATTTTCCATCCACTGACCACCTGCCTCCTGATTCTGCTGTAAATCCCCAGCTGTCTTTGCTGTATTTGGAGTTGAGCCCTCTCTCTCTCTCCTAGAGATAGTCTTGACACCCACTGCAATAGTTTTGGATAAAGTATTCTCACGGTTTTAACAAGTATCAGAATATTCTTCAATAAGCCTCAGAGGGCAATGGAGTGCCCCTAAGAAACTGCAGAGAGAGAAGAAACAGATCTGGGTATTCATTCCCTTGGCTTCCTCCTGGGGGAAGTCCACCACTTAACAGATCTCAGCTCCTGTTAGGAGGTCCATTCCATCTAACCCTGTCTTCCCTTGCCATTAACTGCTCCGACTCTTGCCCTTTCAGGCCTAGGGATAATGGAGTCTCATTACTACCAGCCCCAGAGAGGCCACACTATTTCTATCCCTGTGGTTTTCCACCACTTTGTGAGTTTTTAAACTCTCCTTGAAGTATCGTATTTGAGAATGCCATCTGTTTCCTGCTGGGTCTCCGTAATACAGATATCATCTCAGAGATTTCTTATTCTAAAAAGGCTATTAGCAGGCGGGCACAGTGGCTCACGTCTGTAATCCCAGCACTTTGGGAGGTGAATCACCTGAGGTCGGGAGTTCAAGACCAGCCTGACCAATATGGAGAAACCACGTCTCTACCAAAAATACAGAATTAGCCAGGCGTGGTGACACATGCCTGTAATCCCAGCTACTGATGAGGCTAAGGCAGGAGAATTGCTTGAACCCAGGGTGGACAGAGGTTGTGGTGAGCTGAGATCACGTCATTGCACTCCAGCCTGGGCAACAAGAGTGAAACTCTGTCTCAAAAACAAAAAACAAAAAACAAAAGATTATTAACTCTAAGAAAGGCAGGCATGGAAATAAGCTGATTTTAAGCTACCATTCTCTATTCTCTAGTTATTTTTATAATTATAGTAACAAAGAGTATTTTCTGAAATATACAGTTTCCAAACAGAATCTCTAAGCATCAACAGGGATTATTTAAGAAGAAACATCCATGGAAACTAGAAGTAAAAACAGTGTTAGCTGGCCAGGCGCGGTGGCTCACGCCTGTAATCCCAGCACTTTGGGAGACCGATGTGGGATCACAGGGTCAAGAGATTGAGACCATTCTGGCCAATATGGTGAAACCCTATCTCTACTAAAAATACAAAAATTACCTAGGCGTGATCGCACACACCTGTAGTCCCAGCTACTCGGGAGGCTGAGGCAGGAGAATTGCTTGAACCAGGGAGGTGGAGGTTGCAGTGAGCCAAGATTGTGCCACTGCACTCCAGCCTGGCAACAGAGCAAGACTCTGTCAAAAATAAATAAATAAATAAAAACCGATGTTAGCTGAAACTAACCAGAAACCTAAGAAGAGCTTCTTTACCTTTATTTCCTTCCATCTGGTAGTTAAACCCAGAGGTAATTTTCATAGTGATACTTTTAATAAGGGCAAAAAACACTATAATAATACCAGATACAAACCTGGCAACTCATAATAGCCTGCTGAAGGCTAATTCCATACATAGTCTAGAGCAGTATTTGTCAAATTCAGGTTGCAGTTGATTGTGAAACCAATTCAGCAGGTCAAAACAGTTTTTTAAATGACACATCTATACACAATAATGTAAAACAGAAAATCAGAGCATATTATAAATAGGGTAAAGATTTCACCAAATTTTTAGCTCACCTTTTCACATAACTATTTTTACAGGTGTACTAGGGCATAATGTAAAATGTATTCCTTATGATGGGTGGCAGTCAAGGAAGTTTGAAAGCTACTGGTCTAAAGAGAACCCCCTCCAAACAATACAATAAATCTAAAGCTAAAAATATGTTGTTTCAGCCTACAGCTTCAAATTTTAAAAATCCTAAATAGCTTGTTACCCAGTATAAACACACTAGTAACTGACATAAATTCTATAAAACAGTATATACTCTTGTTTTTCCTCAGGTGGGAGTGCAGTGGTGCCATCTCGGCTCACTACAACCCATGCCTCCCGGGTTCGAGCAATTCTGCTGCCTCAGCCTCCTGGCTGAGGATTACGGGCATGCGCTACCACGCCTGGCTAATTTTTGAATTTTGAGTAGACACGAGGTTTCACCATGTTGGCCAGGATGGAAAACAGTATCTACTCTTACAACAAGTGGTGTGCTCTGCTATTTTCTCTTAATTGATCATTGGAAACCACAGCTTGCAAAGTACTTGCCTAGAGTATTAACAGGGCCAGGTCTGGAGAATTCTGTTCTACAGCTGCCTTCAACTGATTTTATGTCATTTCTATGGTGGTCGCAAGCAGTCAAATCCTCTTCCTCCTTGTGTTTTTGTGTAACTACTACATGACTTCTGCTCAGCAAGAGAGTATGGAGCAGATAAAGATGTAACAGATGAGGAAGTAATCCCACCCACACATCCTGCCATTCTTTGCTGTGGTATATGCGGACAGCTGCATCTTACTACAAGTACCTGCAGCTCATAGCCCGAGGACAGAGGGCAAAAATTGTGCTGAAGCAGCTCTGAGCCAATGTCAGCTGGGCACTAGAGGTTAAACATCCCACCCACCTCAGCCCTCACTGCGTTCTTCCCAGTAGGAATGAGTGCCAGCTACCACCAGCAGTCACCTGCTTGATAACTCGCCCTAAAGGGTTATCAAGGCTTCTTTCCTCTCTTGCACCTCTGCTGGGGCTTCCTGGATTCACCTCTCACTTAAATGACATGCACTTAAATCTTTATCTCAGGATCTGTTTCTGGATAAATGCAACCTAAGAGAGTAAACTAGTATAACTGTTATTTACAGCCGGGGCTGCAAAGATGGGGAAGGCCTGCCCTAAAAAAGCTCATGCTCCAACAGGAAAATCAACGCTCTTTTTAAAAATGTAAAACAAAACTTTACTGTTCATAGTAATGACAGGCATACTTGAGGAGAGAAGGAAGAGGGGACAATCTCTGACTGAAGGGTCACAGAAGCCAGTGCAGGAGACTGTGCAGAACCCCCCACAGGAGTCAGATGGGTAGTCAGGGCTATCCATGGTATGGGTCTATGTTCACTTCCATGAAGGCAATCGTCTTAAGCCTCCCTTATTTATTGTAATGCTTTACTTCTCACATTTAGGTTAAGAAGAAAAGAATTTTTGCCTCTTTCAAAAAGAAAGAATTCTAGCCTTCAGCTAAAAATAACACAAGTAATATGGAAAGTATGAAGGGAGAAAAACTATTAAGTTCCTGAAAATGTGTTAAGAAAACGATTTGTAAATCATCTTTAATCTTTTTACGTTCCTCTGAGATCCTAGGGGACGGGACTGAGTATTCAACCCAAATCATGAAAAGTTCTGGTGAATGCTGTTATTTTCATTCAAAAAGTATCACTTTTAAATGTAAAATTTACATGTTCAGATTTGTGTTCGTTCAGTTACTATAAACTAGGAGTTGTTTTAGGCATCCAATGAGAAAGCTATAGCTAATTTTCTTTTCTTTTTTTTTTTTTTAAAGAGACAGGATCTCTCTCTGTCATGCAGGCTGGAGTGCAGTGGCACAATCACAGCTCACCGAAGCCTCAACCTCCTGTGTTCAAGTGATCCTCCTGCCTCAGCCTCCATAATAGCTGGGACATAGGTGCAAGCCACCCTACCCAGTTAATTTTTTTTTTTTTTTTGTAGAGACAGTGTGTTACTGTATTGCCCAGACTGGTCACAAACTCCTAGGCTCAAGCAATCCTCCCGAGAAAGCTATGGCTAATTCTCCTTGGCATCTTCCATTCTGGTAAATACTTCAGCAGAGGCAGAGCAGCATCATAATTCTCTCTCTCAGGGAAAAAGTCTGCTCTGCAGTGAAAGCAGGTATTTGCACTGAAAGCTTCTCCAATGTGCGAAGTACATCTGGGACTGAGAACACAAATACTCACCCTGACCCGGCAGGGAGTGATGGCAGAGCTGAAGGGACATTAGCCTGTGGTTTTTCTTTCTCGTTCTGCTTGAAGAAGGATTTGGCCTCTTTAGATGTAGCATCCACTTCCTTAGTCACCCTGTGCCGAGGAAAAAGACATAAAGTTTGCAAGAAGAATAAAGAGAAAGAAACAAACTAGAAAAGGGAATAAAGACAACTAGAAAAAGATCCACTGGGCTTGCAATATATTCTGGATGCTCAGCTTTATGATAATAGTTTACTACAGTTAACTTTCAGTAGACATTTTCCCTCATTAAAATTAACAAATGAAACAACAACGTGTATAAATTTTATCTCCCTAAAATCCTCTCCATGACTTGTCAGCATGAAACACACTAGGGCAGTCACTACTAAATCTGCACGCTGGGTTACTGACGTGAAGGCTGAAAAAGGACCTCACACTGCACCCCACAAGCAGATTAGCACTCAGACCTAAAGGCCCAGTGAAAGCTGAGGGGCAGAGATGGTATATCAGGAATACGGGCAATAAAATTGGGAAATAATGCCTAGGGTAGCTTTATTTCAAGGAGAAAAGCAAGACTTAAAAAAAATTGAGAAGACTCTACAGAAGGGTCCTATTCTATATCCAAAACAACCCAAAGATAAAACAAAATCCCTTAAAACGGGCTAAATTAGCAATAATTTGGGAATGGATGAAAGGAACATGACTGAGAATTCTGTCTAATTTCAAATCTGAAAAAATTATCTCCACTAAAACTGAGTCCTGAAGGATCAAATAAAGGTATTTATACTACCTGACAGAGAGGAGAAATGTCTAATCCCTGCCTAGGCTTGCCAGGTTAATAAAAACACCTAAGGAATGTGGTTTAAATTCAGTCTATTATGGCCAGCTGCATGGCCTCTTTTGTAGCGCCCTGACAAGTTTTTTGTTTTTTGTTTGTTTTTTTTTAAACAGGCCAGGTACAGTGGCTCATACCTGCAATCTCAGCTCTTTGGAAGGCCGAGGTGGGCAGATCATTTGCAGTCAGGAGTTCGAGACCAACCTGGCCAACATGGTGAAACACTATCTCTACTAAAAATACAAAAATTAACTGGGTATGCTAGTGTGTGCCTGTAACCCCAGCTACTTGGGAGGCTGACGCAGAACTGCTTGAACCTGGGAGGCAGAGGCTGCAGTGAGCCGAGACAGCATAGCTGCACTCCAGCCTGGGCAACAGAGCAAGACTCCGTCTCAAAAAAGAAAAAGAAAAAAAATGCAAAGAAGTTACTTTCCTACGTGACTGATGCTGAATTTGGATACGTGACTTGCTTCAAAGGCGAATGAGGTATTAGTTCATCTAAGAGGAAGAGAAGCTTAAACATATTTATGCTGTTTCTCTTGCTCCTTAAATTCATCCCTTGAGTCATAAGGAGAATATACCTCAACTAGCTGGTCCAAGATGGCAGAAGGACACATGCTGCAGACCTGAACCCAACAAACAAGCAGCTCGGAGCTGAGCTGAGCTGAGCTGAATCTAAGTCACTCAATCTCAAATACTCAGAGGTACACAGGCAACAAATAAATGCTTATGATTGTATAGCACTGAGTTTTGGAATGGTGTGCTATGCAGTAATACTGTAGCAATAGCCAACTGACACATTTATATTTTGTAAGAAAACTGAAATTCAAGGTTATGTTACTTATTCAAGGCTATCCTGAGATTAAGTAGCAATGGTACAGAGAGCCCTATAGCAGACAGTATATTTCAAAGATGGTATTTCCCATCCCACACACTCTTCCAGAACCCTGATACTACTTCAGTTAGTATCACTCTGTAATCCCAGACTCCCTCTGTTAGTATCACTCTGTAATCCCAGACTCACCCTCCCAATTAGAGGGGGAGTCTGTGTCACCACCCCTTGAAAGTGAATGAGCCTTTGTGGCTGTCTCAACTCATGGAGTTCTGTGCAAGTGGCACAACATGACATCTGAGACTAGCAAATAAAAGATGATAAATCTTTCACCTGGCATGCTCTGTCTATCTGTCTGACAGAGATGACAAGACTCCAGACAGAGCCGGACCACCCCCCATCCCGTCTCTCGCAGAATGCACCTCTGAAACTCCAAGTTATCACACAAGAAGGCTGGCTATTCTGCAGCCACTATGTTGGAGAGATCATATAGGAAGACCACAGAGAGATGCCTCAGAAGCCTGTACCACCCCCCAGGTGTTTGCGCCTTCCCAGCTCTGGCATCAGACACGGGAGTAAGGAAACCTGTGAAGTGGTTCCATACTTAGTCACTGCCTGATTACAACTGTACAAGAGACCCTGAGTAAGAACTGCCCAGCTGAGCCCAGCTACCCCAGGAACCAAGAGAAATTATAACAAAACAATTGTTTTTTAAACCTACTAAATGTTGAGGTGCTTTCTTACACCATTTTAAAAATATCCAAAATAAACCCACATCCAAATTTCAGGCTTAATGAAGGGTTCTAGAGTAGTAAACTAGAAAGAAAGAGTACCTTTAAATTTCCTGTGCAGGCACGGTGGCTCACACCTATAATCCCAGCACTTTGGGAGGCTGAGACGGGTAGATCACAAGGAGCAGAAATCGAGACCATCCTGGTCAACATGGTGAAACCCCTATTAAAAATACAAAAATCTAGCTGGGCATGGTGGCACATGCCTGTAGTCCTAGCTACTCAGGAGGCTGAGGCAGGAGAATTGCTTGAACCCAGAAGGCAGAGGTTGCAGTGAGCCGAGATCGTACCATTGCACTCCAGCCTGGGTAACAAGAGCAAAACTCCGTCGCAAAAAAAAAAAAAAAAAAAAAAAAAAATTAGCTGGACGTGGTGGCAGGTGCCTGTAGTCCCAGCTACTTGGGAAGCTGAGGCAGGAGAATCACTAGAACCCAGGAGGCAGAGGTTGCAGTGAGCCAAGATCACACCCCTGCACTCTAGCCCGGGTGACAGAGCAAGATTCCGTCTCAAAAAATATATATATATTTCCTTGCTCTCGGTACAATCTGGGGCAGACCAGATATGGCTAATGAAGAACAAGTAGAAACTGCCACGTACATATAGTAATCTGAATGCATGCTTTATTTTCCAGTCCTGTCAAAGCCCTACTAACTAGTGGTAAATAAATTTTAAAAGATGAAACTACCCAAGGATAATGGGAAGAAGTTTAACAGAAAATGGATGCCAAGAGAATTTTCTTTTCTTTCTTTTTTTTTTTTTTTAAAAAAAAAACAGGGTCTCATCATGTTGCCTGGGCTGGAATCAAACTCCTGGGCTCAAGCAATTCTTCTGCCTTGGCCTCCCAGGTCTGGGATTACAGTCATGAGCCACTGTGCCCAGACCAAATTTTCTGACAGTAAAAAGCGGTTGGGCGCAGTAGCTCAAGCCTGTAATTCCAGCACTTTGGGAGGCCAAGAGCAGGATTACTTGAGCCCTGGGCAACATGGCAGGACCCTGTCTCTACAAAAATAATCAGCCAGGGATCATGGAGTGTACCTGTACTCCTAGCTGCTTGGGAGGCTGAGGCAAGAGGACTGCTTGAAGCCAGGAGTTCAAGGTTACAGTGAGCTACTAAGGTGGTACTGTACAGCCTGGGAACAGGGTGAGACCCTGTCTTAACAAAAAGAAAAGAAAAAAGAAAGTAGAAAGCAAGTAGACAAGTAGTAACTGGTTTTGGTTTTGGTTTTTTCTGATCTCCTAAGCCTATAGCCATATGGAATGGCCAAAAACAGGCAAGCCAATGTGTACTACAGTATCCTAGAAGGGCTCACTAAATTGAGATACCAGAACCTTTCAAGGCAGAGGAAAGAAGTAGGGCTAAAACCAGTTGGAATTCTGCCTCAGGAGCAACTAGGTCCCAGATCCCCTTCAGCAGCGCCTGATACCACAGGCTACTGCCCTACGCCATCCCCAATCCAGCAGAAGCCATTACTCCGGAGAAACGAAAACCACAGACGTTCCAGACTCATTAAAGGCATGGCTGAAGTCCATTCTGAAAACAGAGGAATTACATGAAAATCTATGTATTCACTCTTCCTTTGCCACAGCAACCCTGCAGCCTAGGTGTTCTGGACAACTGAGTCGCAAGATGCAGTGCTACCCAGCTCACACTGCACTTCACACCAGTAAGAAGCAATGTACTGTATTATGCTACTGAGTTGCTGAGTTTGTTAACCCAGCATAGCCTGGCCTGTCATATCAATTCTACTAAAATGAATTCCATAAAAACAGAAGATAGGCTGGGCGCGGTGGCTCAGGCCTATAATCCCAGCACTTTGGGAGACCGAGGCAGGTGAATCACGAGGTCAAGAGATCGAGACCATCCTGGTCAACATTGTGAAACCCCATCTCTACTAAAAATACAAAAATTAGCTTGGCATGGTGGCGCGCGCCTGTAATCACAGCTACTCGGGAGGCTGAGGCAGGAGAATTGCTTGAACCCAGAAGGCAGAGGTTGCGGTGAGCTGAGATCGTGCCATTGCACTCCAGCCTGGGTAACAACAGCGAAACTCCATCTCAAAACAAAAAAAAAAAGAAATTAAAACGTTCACATCAAGGCAAATCACTGTGAAGTATCAGAATGTTGGTGATAGAGAAGACAAAGATCAAATGGCCCAAATAATAAGGTCTCCATGTAATATATGTTTGGTTTTGTTTTTTTACCACCTTTATAGGAATGACACACCTTGAGTCACCCAAGACAATTAAGACAACATTTTCTGAAAAGCAACCTAGATCCAACCACAGTTAGATGTCAAACATGTAAAAAAAAATACGGCATGACCTTTGTTCTCAAGGAGCTCACAGTTCAGCAGAACAGCCAACCATGAAAGCAAGTCATGGTAATACATGATACATAGTAAGTGCCGTAAAAGCAGCACAGAAGTATTAACTGTGGGAGTACCTCTCATAATTTCTTAGTGCCAAACTCCTACCCATATTTACTAAGAAACACTGGTATATTTATCTCAGGAACGTTAAAACTGACACAAAGTAATACTAGCAGATTACTCTTCACTGACAGTATGCCTAGAAGAACTCCACTTTCAACAAGCAGTAACGGATTCCACTATCAAAATATCTTCAAGCAGGAAAACAGTTAAATTATAGACCACAT